TGAACCTATATGGGATACGATATGCATAGTAAAGACTAACTTTATTTATTCATATTGGATTCAATTTCAAGGGTAAAAATTTAAAACCCCAAATTCGTTTCTTTGTACTGTATATACAAGAAACACATATATATTCAAATATGAACTGAATCATCAGAAACAACACACACATTCAACCAACAATTTTTATAACTTATATTTATAAGAATTTGGCTTGATATCTTTATGGCGCTCTTTCACAAGCAGAAATATCAAAGAAACTTCGAAAGGTTTTTTTTTAGGATGACCACATGATTTACATATATACTAGCTGAATTAATCAATTTTTTACAGTGTAATTACTATTTACGTCCTAATTCGTAACGGTAATGTTGTAGTGAAGATTTTACTCAATTTGGATCTCATAGAATTCCAAAATTCTAATTAAGTTGAGCTTATTTTCATCTCCGAACTACAACTTTCCAATGTATAGTGGAAATGAACCGATTCAAGATGCCGAGGCATCATCTGCGGAGCCCCATGCTCTACCAATCGTAACGTCGAACTCACGAACACCATTGTTAAAGAAACAACACGACCCTTTTCTTAAACGCAAGATTATTCTTGTGCTTTCAGGCTTAGTTCTCGTCAATATTGCGTCATGGATAACTGCTATATTCGTATTTCGCGGATTTCCCTCGCTCATAGGCACGGCGGCATTGGCATATACTTTAGGCCTTCGACATGCTGTGGACGCTGATCATTTGGCTGCGATTGATAATGTCACCCGAAAACTTTTACAGAGCGGAAAACACTCTGTATCCGTTGGCTTGTTTTTTTCCTTGGGTCATTCGACCATTGTGATATGCGCATCAATCGCTATCGCCATTACTGCCACAACCATAAAAGATAAATTCGGTGACCTTCAATCTATAGGTGGTCTCATAGGAACCTCCGTATCAACGGCGTTTCTATTTATCATCGGAATTATCAATACTTTTGTTTTAGTCTCGGTTTACCGTTCGCTCCAGAAATTAAAACGCACAGGCGTTTATGAAGAGGAAAACATTGAAGATGTCCTTAACACTTACGGTTTTATTGGCAGGTTATTTGGACCCGTGTTCAAATTCATCGATGCAAGTTGGAAAATGTATCCACTCGGGGTACTCTTTGGTTTTGGTTTTGACACTTCTACCGAAGTTGGACTTTTAGGAATTGCAGCTATCCAAGCCAATCAAGGGCTTTCCGTTTGGATGATTATGATTTTCCCTTTACTTTTTACTTCTGGTATGGCCTTGATAGATACCATAGACGGAATCCTAATGTTGGGAACTTATACATGGGCATTCATTAATCCAATACGAAAGTTATATTATAATTTTATTATAACATTACTTTCCGTTTTAGTTGCATTTATTATCGGAACTATCGAGTTGTTCAACATTTTAGGAGATAAATTAGACCTTCATGGTCCATTTTGGGATTTCTTTGCTTCCCTCGGAGACAATTTTGGTGTCATTGGTTATCTGATTATTTTATCATTTGTTGTTACTTGGATTATTGCAAAGATTGTTTATAGGTGTGGTGGCTATGACAAGTTAGAACGAAAATTTACCCGGCAAGGTGCTATCACTAATGTCGATAATGACAATAAGAGCGCTACGAGTTCAAAAAAGGATGTCAAAGAGGATACTGTGATTGCGGTTGACAATGACGTCTCTAATGAAGGAAAAAACAAAAAAGGATCTATGGAAATTGAAGAAGCTTAACTTGTACGTAAATACTCTATCAATACGAGATCTTGTTTATTATACCTTCGATTAAACTTGTACACTATAGTGAATACAACGAAAAAAAATTTTTATAATCATTAACTCCAACTGTATAATAAAATAAGTTAACATTTAAAATGATCAACTTACGTCATTAACAATATACTGTACATGTATATAGTAAGAAATTATCCAAGTGCAAATTACTTTCTATTGACCTTTATACTCGAGTAAAATTTTACGTGTCAACGAGGTCATCCCGAAATCCTGAAAGGGTCGAAGACAAAAACCGTCTCTTTTTTTTTCCTTGTTTATATATTTTATGTATTATTAATAAAACCAATATACAAATTACTATTTTATTAATATTAATAATACAAAAATTAATGTATTAAAAATATATTATTAAAAACTCTTTTTATATATAAATGTATTTCTTTTTAAAATATAATTTAAAAAACAACGTGTTAAATAATTAAAAATATATAGTTAAAAGTTGATTTTTAGATTTTTAATTGATCTGAACAAATTGTAAATTTTTGAATTATCAATTAAAATTATCAGATTTAAAATAAAAAATCGTTCTAAATTATTTTTAAAATTAATAAATTTTTAATTATTTATTATATATATTATATAAGTAAAAAATATTTTATTTTACAATGCAATAAGAAATTCTTTAAAAAAAGTATATTAAAAAGTTTTTAACAAATATTTATTTATTTGACATAAGATTTTAAAAATATTTTTTAAAAAAAATATAAAAATAAAATATTAAGTTTTTATTAATAATTAATTAAAAAAATTTATTCAAGTTTTGATTTTATTTTTAAAACTTTAAATGATTTATAAAAAATTTTTTTTAAAAAAACTCTTTTTCTTTAATCTGTTACAATTATCATATTTGTAAAAAATTTTATCAAGTTATCTTATAAGAAAACTTTAATAAAAAATCATTTTCAATTTTTATACAAAAAAATATAAATTCTTTTAAATTTGAAAATAATTTTGAAAAATTGTATTAAAAATAGTTTATAAAAAATTTTCAAATGGATTTTTTAAAAATTATAAATAGAAGGCTCATAAAAGTATAGATTCAAAAATATTCCTATGAATTTTTAAATAATTTTTAATTAATAAAATAAATAATTAATTAATTTCAAAATTTTATTATTTACACTGTATATATAAAGTATTAATATATAGACGTTTTTTTTAAAAAAAAGTTAATATGTGTTTTCAATTGTTTTATATTATCTAATAAATTATATTTTTCATATTAACTATAAATTAAAAAACTCTTTAAAAATAATATAATAAAAACATCTTATTTTATATTTGTATATACTGTATAATCGGGATGATAATTTGGAATGGGTAACTCCTAAAGAAAGCGCTCAACGTAAAATATTTCCAAACGCTGGTCGTGGTAGTTCTAGGCGAATCATACAAAAGGAATTGAATGGAGATGATATTCAGGTTCGGGATTCTATCTCTCTTGCATTGAATACACATCGAATACACATCGAATACTCTTAATATGTATAAAATCAGTATCGGTCGATGTTTAGAAAAAAGCTAAATACTGTCGGGTGGCAATTAATATATGATGAAGAGTGAAGTGAATTTAAATGCAAAAAATTTTACTAGAAAGTTCAGATAACCAACGGCGCAATCTCTCATTGATCATTATGTTTAGGACATCTCCGAATTGGAAGTATTTTGTTCATTGCTTGGTTGCTCCAGCATTTCGCCCACAAAAAGGTAATTAAGAGGAAACACTCAACATGCTGTGTCTCAAGTTTCAGGATGACTGGGTGCGCCAGCGTGCTATTAAGCAAATTTTCGATGACCATTCAAGAATTTCTATTTCTAGCCGAAGCATAACGCGTAACTGGAATTGTTCAAGTCAAGTAACGGTTTTATTAAGATACGTGACACATTATAAAAGTTGAATTAATCAAATGTACAAGACATTACCACTTGAAATTTTGAATGTAAATAAAGGTATAACCTTATTAATACATACAATCTATTTATTCGATAAACAACCTTTTTTCAGGCAATTGTGAGGGCCTTCTTAAATATGTTGGCTTACCACCACCCATGATGACTTTTTTTTCCCAGAGATCTATGATCGAGGAAGGATATACAAAGTACATTGTTATAGTAGCGTAACAATTAGGAGCTAACTTGTTGACAAATTCTTTAGCGTTAGACGATACTAGTCAAACTATGACAGTCATTATCGATGTCTGATTTGTACGCTCAGCAATTTCAAAACAAAAATTAGATATTTATTTATCTGTAAAGAAACTATCAATTCATATTAAAACAGAAATTTTGATTAACTATGTATAATAGAATCAATAATTAGACTATTTTGCATGTTTACTCGTTAATAATGGTTTTTACGAAAGAAATGTCACTTCAAAATCATTATTACCCAAAATCCTCTCCATGTTCTGTTTAAGTATTGTCTTGACACTTCCATATAAAGAGATCACAATCATAGGATACCCAATTTCTCCCTGAAAATTGACAAAACCCTTTGCTAGTTTGTAATTGCATGTCAGAGTCATGCCTTTTAGCTTGGGGTCTACGCTTTCAAGCCGCAGGAAGCCCTCCTTTTTTCCAAATTTAAACGCTTCACTCCCATTCCAGGAAAAAAAAGCATATGTTCTTGAACATTATACCTTTTGCAATGTATGTTAATGTTTTTTTATCCTCAATGTGGGTCTTTGTCTGTGTCATGACTGTCCTGGTCTGCGTAGCTGCAGATTTTTGTCTTGATATTGTTCCTGTAGAAGGATCAGAGATGTCAAGGCTGGATTCGATGAACTCATCAAACTCAATAATATAGTTGTCGTTATCAAGGAACTTTGTTTTGCTCTCATCGAGTCTGGTAATGATTTTTGTTTCATCTAACCTAAACGGACTCTTTAAAGCTATAAGATATCCAGCAAAATAATCCGGTAAATGCAAGTAATCATTTCCAAGTTCATACTCACAATACAACGACACACTTGACAACCGTGGGTCCACACTACTAATTCTACACACGCCTTCCGTTTTACCCTTAATAAATAATATACTCTCGTCAATACAAAATTTTCTTATGCCGTGAGAAATTAGGCCTTGGATTAGATATGTTAGACTTTTTGGGTGGGAAATATTCAAAGTTTGTGTGTTTGTGGATGATAAATATACAGTAGAGTTATTCTTTTGGTCGGAAAGATTCATAGCTTGTGTGTTTGAAGATGATGAAGATTCAGTAGAGGTACTCTTTGGGTCGGAAAGATTCACAGTTTGTGTGCTTGTCGATGATAAAGATACAGTAGAAGTAATGTTGTTTGTTTCTTGTTCGCTAGTGTTCAGTTTTGCTTCCCTCACACACTGTTGTGATTCCTTATCGACACCTTCAAGTGAATAGACCATTTAAGAATGGAAATAGTTAGTTCTACATCATACAAAATTAACAAGATTTCGAGTTTGGATAATTTGCTTTGTGAAAACTGGCAAATAGTACCTATACCATTATCATTGATGTTGTACTCTGTTGATGCTTCTTTTACTTCTCTCAAATTATACAATGACGAGAACATATGTTTCTTATTGTCTTTAAGGGTCCTAATTAACTCATCAAGTAATAAAACTGGTCCCATTTCTAACCCACAAAGCTCGAGTTTTTTTTCATTCATGAGGAGGAAGGACATCCCATTTATTTTTTTCTTCCGAAGTATTCCAAAATCATCCTCATCAAGTTTTATGTTCTGTTCTTTCAAAAAATTGATGAAGGCTTCCGTGTCCAAGTTTTCAATCAAATCAGAATCGTTTTTGGCTGCGGAAGTGGGCAAGATGGTTTTATAGGTTTTGAGGAAGCGTAGATAAAAAAATGACATTAAAGGCAAAAGGAGTAGGATGAGCCACATAGTACGAAAATTTTGACCTTTTTACATTAACGAAGTGAGTAATTACTTTCCATGGTTTAGATTTTGGCATAAATTTTACTAAAATATAGGTATTTTCGTTCTTACAAATGAAATTCCAAAAAAGTCTAAATTGAGAAAACAACAAACCTCTTGTTTTATGTTTATAATATAGATTAGATAAAGGGATTGTTAAAAGTCCGGTTTGGTCCGACCCGACTCAAGTTTTAATTGGACTCGGCTCAAAACAATTTGTGAAATAAATTTCGAAAAAAAATATATACAGTATTCGAATGTACCACATAGCTCTGACTAAAGTACACAGGGTCTTCTACAATTCTTATGAGAATACAATACAAACACAATTGCTACTTTTATCAGAAATGATAAAGGATACTACTATACATGAAGGTATTTTAGTTAGCACCAACAGGGTTAAAAAAATACATCAAATGTTTTGAATTTGGTTATTGATCAAGAATTAAATCGTTTTGTGATATGTACCATATTAATATGGATAATTATTTTTGAAAGCAATGAAAATAATAGATATAATGTATATTGATTTTAATTAGATAATTTCTATAGGCAAGCTAACATTAAACTTATTGATAAATTGGTTACACAAGAAACGGTATTACTTTCTTCGTATATAAATTTTATAATTTTATAATTTTATAAAGTGATAATGTTTATCTACATTAATAATAAAAATAAAAATATTTTTTATATTATTTTATTCTTAAGTTTTAAAATATATTTGAACACGATTTTATAAAATTTTAATTTTTAATTATAAAATCAAATATAAATTTTTTAAATTTTTCAAAAATTCTAACTTATACTATATATAAATTTTATTTTAAAATTTGATATATTAGATTATTAATAAAAAAACTTCTTTTCACTTTCCTTTTCTATGCTTGGAAATTTTTTTTTAAAAAAATTTTTAAATTGTTTTTTTTTGCTTCTTCTTTTTTTTTATTATTTTTTTTCTTTTATCTTTTTCTTTTTTCTTCTTTTATTTCTTCTTTTTTTTTTATAAATTCTTTTTTTTTCTTTTCTTTTTCCTCTTTATTTATCAAAGTTAGATTTTTTCTTCTTTCTAAAGTTTTTCTTTTTTAAATTTTTCTCTTTTTTAAATTGTCACTTTTTATTTTATTACTTTTCTAATCAGTTAATTTTTATTTTTTAAAAACTATATTAAAAAATAATAATTTTTTTTAAGTTATAAGCTTATAAAAATTTTTTCTTTTATAATTTTTAAAAAAAGAATAAATAGTTTGCACTCTCCAAAAGATTAATATAGTTATATTACTATATTTGACATTGTTTATTTTTTGATGGTTAAATTAAATATATCTAAAAAAATTACTGTATAATTATTATTATGTATTGTCGCGGGTCAGGGGTCTATCAGCAGTAACGGCGAAATCCTAGACTTCACGACACTTCGACAGGGGTATCTGTTATAACAGGGGGGGATTAAAGGCAGAAAGAGGCGTAGATTTGGCGAGTTTGTG